GAGAGGGGCAGGAGGAGAGGGCAGGAGGAGAGGGGCAGGGGTGAGGGGCAGGGTTAGCAGGGCACTGGGGGCAGTGCAGTGTTGGGAGGGAATGTGGTGTGTGGCATGTCACTGAGCGGTGTGGCAGCGGCCGTGAAGTCCGGCTCTTCAGGTCTCTCAGGCGGTCTTGCCTTGTCTTCCAGGCCGCAGAGACCTTTGATGGTGAGCAAGGCGGAAGCCACGTGGTGTCCCCTGCCGTGCCCTGGGCCACCTTTCCTGCAGGTACGCCCTCCTCTCTTGGTTTGAGCATTTTTTGCCTTTTTCTCAGTTTTTTTTTTTTTTCTAATTTGCTTTTTTTCCCCCTGATCTGAAAAACATAGTGTCCTAGAGTTCACTGTGAATCCAAACTTTGTTTTTTCCAAGTGTGAATTGCCGTGCAGTCTGTGCCAGCTCGAGGCTGGCCCTTGCGTATAGCAGACGGCGTCACATTTGTCGCATTGGTCTTGGTTTACCAAGGTGTCAAGGAGCTCCTTGGGGTTGCGCATGGTGTACTCCATTTTACACCCTCACACAATTGAGCCTCGTTACTGTTTCAGTGTGCACATTTCTTCACAGTCAATCATTTGGGCATATGACAGGTTAGATAACAGTGTCCAGTAAAGTGTTGGATCCCCCTCGACCCTGAAGTGCATACGAAACCACTCTGAGGCCTCAGCTTGCCACCCTACCGCCTGTCGCGTAGGAAGCGATGGCGGCGGGGGCTGGAGTGCAGGTGGAAAGAGGAGCTCACCACAGCTGCTGGGAACAGGCTACTGTGCACACCCTGAAGCCAGCCTGGAGGCCCCTCATAACAGTGGGAGCGGGCCCGCCATGTTCCCAGCTCTCCACGCCTGGGTACGTGCTACAGGCTTCTACAGAAGCATGCACATCCGTGCTCAGGGCTGTTGCCCTTAGTTAGGTGCTCACAGTCAGGGCTTGAAGGTGGCAGTGAGGCCCTGTCAGTCCTGGGTGTGAGACACGGGTTTCCCTGAAGCTGTGTCGATGGTGGGAGGTCGTGTGTGCCTGGGTGTGTGGTCCTGTGGGGGTGCAGTCATGTGGGCGTGTGGGTCGGTGTCCAGCCATTTCAAAAGCGCTGCTGTGTCCCCTTCCTCTCCCTGTGTCTTCCCCCTGCTGTGTCCCTTTCCTGTGTCCTCTTCCCCCTGCTGTGTCCTCTTCCTCCTGCTGTGTCCTCTTCCTCCTGCTGTGTCCTCTTCCTGTGTTCTCTTCCCCCTGCTGTGTCCTCTTCCACCTGCTATGTCCTGTTCCTCCT